GTATTATTTTCTCAGGATACAGATTGAATAGTATGGTGAAATAAGTCAATCACAAGAAGATAAATGTGATATCGTCCTGGTACCATAAAAAGTCAAGACTAGTCGCATACCCAGGAAGGAGAGTTCTTTGGTGGTCACCAGCAGTGAAACGGAGAGGGAGGGGGGACTTTCAGACAGTAGACATGTGTTACTCTGGGTGGTAAGAAAGGCCACTCAAAGTAGAGGTGAAGGCAGGACAACCTACCTGAAGTAACTAAAAATACTAAAAAGCACATGAGAAAAGGAAATTTTAGCAAGTGTTATAATGCTTTGACATAACAACTAAAAATATATATGTGTGGTGATGTGAGTAGATCTGGATGTATACATGTGTATAGAAAACAGTTTGCTAGTAATCGGAGCCCTGGTGGCATAGTAGTTACACACTGGACTACTAACTGTAAGATCAGCAGTTCAAAACCACCAGCCATTCTATGAGAGAAAGATGAGGCTTTCTATTCCCATAAAGAGTTACAGTCTCGGAAACCCACAAAGGCAGTTCTACCCTGCCTACAGGGTTGCTATGAGTGGGAGTCGACATGATGGCAGTTTTGAGTTCGGTGGTCATATGCTTACAAACATTTGTATGTGCTGCACATAGATCCACATACATAACAAACCACATAGGGGGCTTAGTTACCAATGCATCCTAGACATATCCAGCCAATCTGTGACATTGGTCTTCTGGGTCAAAAGACTTGGGACCCTAATCATGGAGGACAGCCTAGTCAATTGGCCTAACTCAAGTGCCTGAAGAATCGCAGACCTACTGCACCGATAGAAAGAAAAGGAATCCCTGAGACGTTCTCCATAGCATACCCTGTGAACTTGGAATTGAAGCTATTTCTGCAGGTCACCTCTCAGTCAAATAATAGATTGATTTATAAAGTAAACAACATAACTTGTGAGTGAAGTGCTTCCTTGAACTACGTGAGACGACACAGTCAATAGCTACCCAGAGACAAAGATGAGAAAGCAAAGGGCAGAGAAGCCATGTCAATGGAAACAGAACGAGTAGAATGGAAAGTATTAGAATTCTAACACACGTTGTAAAAATCGTATCCACTAGCACAAAACGACCTATGTAAAATTGTTAAAGGGGAACCTTACTTACTGTGCAAACATTCAACTAAGGACAATAAAATAAAGGCCTCTTTAATACTAAAATTGGAGGGCAATGAAGTCCTAATGATGGGATGCAGTATAATTACACGATCGGTTCTGAGTGGGACGATTAATGAAGACTAGAGCAGTCAGGTCAAGAAAGTTTCATTGAAGGGATGGAAATTCAAGGCCCTTGAAGGATGTATGGAGTTTAGACAGTCAGAATGGGACAAAGAAATAACATGAACAAAGCCTCAGAGACAGACATGGGTTCTATATGAGAAAAGGGTAAGAATGGGGCGGTAGGCCTGGCTAATTTGCTTTGGGAGATTGAGAAGACACAAGAGTTGGACAAATTTAGTGGTGTCACAATGCAAGGTGGGACCTTAAAGTCAAGAAAGGGAAACACCGAGTATACCTGAGGAAATTCAAAAGCACCCTGATGAAGGCAATGATTCAAAGGAAGTTAGTCTCTGGCAATGAGCCCTGTAATGGACTGAATGGGATGATGTCCTTTCTGCACTAACAACATTTATTCTCTTCTATTCTGTTCTATTTTCAAATTCTATTTTAATCTCAAGTGAGATAATGAAGTTCTGGACTAAAATAATAAAAATGAGCCAGAAAAAGATTAATGTGAGAAGCATTTTAAAAACAGAAACTGTCAGGATTGCATGCCTAGATAAATAAAACTGTAGTTACTTCCACAATGCAAACCCAATACAGAGTCCTTAATAAACACTTGCTTACATACCATTAGTGATTATATAATTGAACATGGGCAAGGTATCTACAAGCCTTTGTCTAGGACTGGCCAGGAGTATGCACATACACGTGCTCTCACTCAACTACCTCTGTCACCTGCAGGTAGTTGACTAGCCGTGGTTAGGTGGCAAAGATGTCCTTGATTGTAAATCGGCAGCCTTTATGACCTATATGACTGTGAACTTATTAAAATTGCTTTCTGCCCAGACCAGTTGTTTTACCCTAGAATAACCAGATCAGGCCTATATGAGGCAGTCCCATAAAGAGATTAAAATAATATTTCATCCATTTCAGCAGCACTTATACATTCAAATAAATCTAGTCCTTTCCAATGAATCTCTTTAAAAGCCCATCCCTTAGACTCATTATTTCAAACC